TAATGGGGTGAGAGAAAAAAAAAGAAAAAAAATAATGGGGTGAGAGAAAAAAAAAGAAAAATAATAATGGGGTGAGAGAGGCTCGAACTCTCGACCTCAGGATTTCTCTATATGCTATGAGACCTACGCGCTAGCCAACTGCGCCACCACCCCATTTGATAAATTTTTCAACTTGTAATTATATATAATAACGTATATTTTATATGGATGTTGGAACTTTAATGTTGAGTTTTATTTTTTATTTTTATAAATTCATATTGGTCCAAACTTTGAAAGTAACTATTTTAGTTTTTAAATTTTAAAACAATTATTATTTTGGTCTTTTTATTAGTTTGCTATTAATTGTTTAAATAGACTAATAATAATGTGTTTATCATAAAAAAAAGACTAATAAAAATAGAAAAAGAAGATATTTATTTTTTATTTTCTTACCCACTTATAAATGATGATTTTTCTATCTCATTTGAAGCAACTCTAAGCTCTTATAAATTTACAAACTAATTCTAATTTTCTCATACATGAGAGAGATTTAGAAGGCTATGGTCAATGGTTCTTGATTTTTCAAATTATATTTTTTTTAATAAATCAAATCCACTAAATTATGATGAATTTTAAAATTCCTTTTTCTTATATAAAAGGAATTCACTTTTTTCTTCCCCTCAATCAAAACAACTTTTATGATATGATGATAAAAGATAATAATTAAAAGTATAGAGTAAATATATATAATATTTTACGAATAAAATTTGGAGAATACTATATTATATATATATATTATAGCATTCTTGAACCTTTTTTTCCCTTTAAATCTTTTAAGAGGTATTGTTTACTTATGACAGGAGCTGAATCACTCCTCTACTGCATTGATCTTCATTTGAAAGTTTTAAATCATTTTACTGAACTACAAAACTTCACTTTCCCAAATAAGATGAAGAAAGCAGATAATTTTCTTTGGCTTTAAGGTAATTTTATAAGAAGTAGAAACATGAAAGTGAAACATAGCCAAGCAGAAGGGGCAGTAGATATATTGTTGCTAACACAATTGCCAAATGGCCCTCCATATATTCCTCCTTTACATAAAAAGAAAGATCAGCATTATAGGCTGCTATAGCTTTTAGTAAAACCATCCATAATCTCCTCAAAAGCATAGAATATTGAGTTGCCAAAAAGCTMTTATTTATGGAAATTAACTTAATAGATTGCTTCAACACACAACTCAGTTGGATGCTGGTGGCTTGTAGGGAGGCTTGTATGGGTAAGGTGGTGGTTTGGGAATTTGAACCGGTGGTTTGTATATTGGAGCCACCGGAGGCTTGGGCGGTTTGTATATCGGAGTCACCGGTTTGTACACCGGAGCTACCGGAGGCTTTGGTGGTTTGTATACTGGAGCCACCGGAGGCTTGGGTGGTTTGTAGATCGGAGCCAATGGAGGCTTGGGTGGTTTGTATATTGGAACCACCGGAGGCTTGGGTGGCTTGTATGTTGGAACGAATGACGGTTTTGGAGGTTCAGGCTTATCGACGTAATCTCCAACCGCGGGTTCGGTGAGAACCACCGTGAGTAGCGCAAGGAGAGCTAACAAGTAGGAGGAAGACATCTTTGTGATTTTGTGATGAAGCTTGAAGACACTCCCGCCTATTTATTGAGACTATGAGGTAAATTATTGGAAAGTTGTTCTTTTTTTTTTAAATTAAAATATAAAAACCTCGCTGCGAAACATTTTTTTTCTCTCAACTTTTTTACTATACTTCCAATCCATCCACTTAAGTTTTTGGATTGAGTAATAGTTTATTCATCCTTAACATGGTATCGAAATGAGAGGTATTGTATTCGAACTCCGGTATAGTTGTTTCCTCCTCATTTATTATGAGAAATTTTTTATTATTACAATTGTTATTATGGCCTATTACATGCGTGACTAGAGCTTATCGAAAAGAAAGAATTTTTTTTTACTTAATATCACTTTTTTTAAGATAAAAAAGAAAAGCCAATTATCCAGTCAATATAATATTGATTAAATGCTCGAGCACTCAGATACTTTCATGTTCCTCGTCATTAATATGTTTGCTCGCGGTAATTGTGACMTCTCGGGAGAATCGATRACTGCATCAAAGATGCACTTGCTAGTACTAGTACATCTGAGAATTCTTAATTGGCTAGTTGTAAATAGACCCAGACTGTGGGACAAAGGATTATCCYGGACCTACACCGAGGTATTGACGGTRATTCTCAAATATCGCAGAACAGAATTTGATACGATGAGATAGAATGCAATAGAAACAAAGACACAGGGAACGGGTTACCTACTCTTAACGGTCAAAGCGAACCCTTTCATTCCGAATTCTTTAATTGTTTCATATCCTAGAAAAACTCATTTAAGTTATTAGGGATTATGAGAGTATGAATATTGTAAATGTATATTATCATTATAATCGTAAATTAATAATAGTTTCTTCTTTTTGAAAATTTTAATGTAAGATTATAGTTTCATTCAATTTCTGAATTCTGAAATCATTTTATTTGCAAGAGTAATAATTTTGTTTACAACAATTAGTATCATAAAAAATCAGAATTATAAATGGAGTACTGCTTGTCGGCAGTGAATTACGAAATAAAGAATGGAAATCTCTAACAAAAGTAACAAAGGACAAAAAGAAAAAGTGAAAATGTTGACAATTGGGCCAATGAGCATGTTACAAATTTCGAACTTTGGTTCATTTTTTCCCACACGTTTCAATCAGCTGAACCTAACATGTTCTTCACTCAAACAAATTTATTCAGATGAAATTAGCAACACATATTCAAATTTTTCTTTGTTATGATAGCATATTCACCGACAACTCAAGCATAATTCAATTAGTTAAAATATATATTCATGACAAAAAGATCATGGACTCGAATCTTTACCATCTTGTACTAAAAAGAGAAAAAAAAAAAAGCATACTTACAATATTTTATTTTTTTAGAAAAATGATATAGGAATTTATAGAAGTTTGTTTCTTTTTTCAATGAGATTGAAAATTATTAATTTAGTAACATTTTGAGTGATTAGATTTCTATAATAAACCATTTCAGATAGAGATATGAGTCTTTATAACTCTATATATTGTACAATTAAAAGAAGGGGGAGAAAAAAGTTTTATTTTATATTTGATAACTTCTTAAAATGGAAACTTCTTTTAATGTTTTTGTATTGGGTTTCTTTAATTAAGTTCAAGTGTTTAATTGTTGGTGTATTAATTTCAAATAAAAATTTCTTTAATTATTCAATTTTCTTCTTTCATTAGGAATTCGTTCTATCTACTTCTCCTCCACTCTCAATTTTAATTCTCCCTTGGGCAAGTGTTAATTAATGAAGATTAGAATAGGAAGGAGAGGGATGGCGATTGGAGAGGCAGTACTGGCCATGGCCGGTATGCTACAGTCCGTTTGGTATCGTTTTAATTTCTTGTTTTTCGAAAAACAAAACTATTTTAGCAAATGTTTATCATTTCTTTATTTATTTATTGAGAAAAAAACGAGAATATACAAGTATTCATGTTTCTCTCAAATTCTAAATATTAAAAAAGGAAAAAAAAATAGAAACTAGACCGTGTTGTTCTCACCATATAAATTTTGGAAACATTTAATAATAATTTTGTCGACCGGACTGGTTTTGGAACCTTAAAAATATAATATTTTTCTTCTTTGAGTTGCTGTTACAACTCCTAAAACTCTTTTGCTAACCCTTAATTATCTTTAAATTCTGTTCTCAGACTTCCCAGAGCCGATTTGATTTGCAATGGAAGAAATCAAAAGCAAATTTTCTGATTAGTTTTCTTTTCTTTTCTTTCTTTTTTTTTTTTTTTAAGCAGCGGATCGTCATTAATGAAACCTCGTTAAATTTCAAGAGCTTTGATTTACCAGAGATGCTTTATGTGAAGGCCATTATTGTGTTGGACTCTAGCTGGCACAGGCCCAAGCCCAATCCTAGTAGGCCCAATATACTATTTGGCGTTAGGTTGGGTAACCTAACCTTCAACAACTAAACAAACTTGAGTTATGTTTAGACTTAAAATATATATCTATTCGAACTACTCTCGAGTGGCATCACAAACAAGAGTTATACTCGAAAAGTTTTTTTTTTCTTCTAAAAATTACATCGTAAATGAAAGAATGAGATTTAACCAAACTCACAGATACAAATAACTATGCTCAAGTTGACCTCTTTGGGCAGGGTGGGCCTATTCTTTTTCCTTTTTCTACTAAAATTTAGTTAAAGAAAACTATTTATCATAAAAGAAAAAATATAATCTAAAAAATTCCTTAATTATATCAATATTTGTTTTTTATCCTTTCCATAGGTCAAATTATAAGTTTGGTCATTCAACTTTCAAAATTGTTTATTCAAGATTGTGATCTATGTGTTTAGTTAAGATACTTAATAAATTTCTAATAGGTCATTGAACTTTTAATTTTGTATCTAATACATTTCTAGTATACGTTAACTTCATTCGTTTAAAATTTATGCCACTAAACATTTAAATTGGCTCAAAATTAGTTCATTAATGTAATCCTTAAGTAATAAAGGCAATATGAACATGTAAGAGCGTTAAAAGCCTTAAAAGCTCAAAGATGTAATTATTAAGAACATTTTGAAGTATTATTGATAAAACTTTTTTTTAGTCCAACAATTATATGGATGGAGATCGAACCACGATGAAAAAATAACTTTTATCCACTTGAACTATACTCCCAYCGACAAGTACAGCCACAACTTCAAATTAAAGTTAACCAAACTTCATTATATAGAAAATCTGTCCAAAACATGGAAGAATATCAGATTAGTCAAAAAGCCAACATTTAATTTTTCTTTAGAAACACATATTGGAATTAAAAAAGATTATAAAGTGTATCGAGTCAGCTTTTTGGGTCACTTACGGACCTTCCCTGAAGGGTCCCAGGTTTTGTCGGCAGTGCAGAAAATGTTCACTCTTTGGATAATGAAATTAATTTAAGATTCGAAATCTGTAATGGGTCTATGGCATTAAGACTAACAATATATATAGACAAAATATGTCACAATTCAACCAAGAAAGTGACGCATTGGTATGCATGACAATGACAGGATTTGAACTTTCAAACTTAGGTTTAATTTGATTTGATGTATGTATTTTATCTTCTGTCACTTTAATCTGACCTACTTCTTGGACAAGTAAAAGAAATGTTAAATTACAAAAAGACCCCTAAACTTGATCCATTGTTTAAAAAATATACTTATCATTTTTCAAAAGTTTCATTACTTTCCTTTGGTTTTTTTATAAACATTTCAAAAAAAGATACTCTTTAAACAAACAACTGTTAATAATTTGAACGAAAAGTTGATGTGGTAAAATCTAGAACGACGTGACACATTAAGGGATAAAACTTGTCTGGAAAGTATAAAAGAGAGGCAGTGTGAAACAAACGGTCATTTTTTAAAAAAAGGATTAAGGTAAAATTGGATAGACAATAGAGAAACAAACTTTGTTGACAATGAAGTAAGAAGACTTTTAGGACAAAATTGGGAGCTATACATGCTACATCAATTTCCATTTTAATTGTCACGTCGTTCCAAATTCTACCACGTTAATTTTCTGTTCAAAATATTAATGAATGTTTGGTTAAATAATATTTTTGAAACGTCTATGCAATGTCAAAGGTAGTATAATATGTTATTTTTTAAATAAATGACAAAATTGAGAGATATTTTTATAATTTAGGCCCAATTATAAGTCAAGGCACTGATAATTAACATCGGTCCAAGAAAAAAGGTTACAGCAATCTTGTCTTAAAAAATGAAAGGAAAAGATGATTATGTTTGTAATTAGATTTAGAAAGGACAATATGATATCCAATATTATGTCCTAAACTTTACTTTGAATGCAGACAAAAAAAACTTATTAGTAGGGACTAAGTTGCCTTTCTTGAATTTTCAAAGGAGGATAGATTTATGTCTAGGAGCTGTTACAACCACACCTTACACCTTCCAAAGTAAATCTTATCGTTACAGCTTCAATAGTTGCAATGTAAAAAAAAAATATGGAAACCACTTTTGAATTATAATAGTCGTTACAATTCCACTTTGGATATTAAATCCAAAACTGCAATTACATTCTCAAACTTTGCAGAGTTGATATAATTAAACTCTAACTAATTTAGGTTTTGATTTGTAACAAATTTCATAATTTCAAGAGTTGCAATCAATGAAATTAAAAGTTTCCAAATAAATCTAATCACTGACGGGGTTATAAGGATCACCGTGTAGAATTTACTGCAAAAGCTCTAGTAACTTTAAAAGAGTAATTGTTCAAATTGAAAGTTGATAATTAAACCCAAATAGCCACCAAACAATGTTATAACAATACAATTTAGGGCCCGTTTTATAACGCTCACGTATCTTTGTTTCTTGTTTCTCATTTCCATTTTTTTTAAAGAAATCTAAGCATTTTGCAACTAACTACGTTTCTTGTTTCTCGTTTTTTGGAACAATTTCAAAATTATATAGAAATTTCGAAACAACAAAAACAACAAATTTCTTATTTCTTGTTCTCATTTCCCATTTGTTCTTAAAACATA